AGTCCGCCCCCGAGACAGACTCGGCCTGAGGAGAGAGGTCCAGGCCCCGTGGGGCGGGGCCGGCCCTTGCCCCGCCCATCAGTCCTGCTTCTCTGCAGCTAACCAGGTCCTGGGGTCTCAAAAGCGAGGCGGGAGAGAAACGGGGCCTTGCCAAGCCACGCCCACAGCTCGCCCACCAGATTTCGTATCGCGTAGCCTGAAGAAGAGAATGAAAGGCCGAAGGGGCGGGGCAACCTTGGCCCCACCCACCTAGCGCCAGCGACCACCCAGTGCCTAAGAGCTGCGGGGGCGGGGCCAGATGAAGGGAAGGCGGAGCCTGAGGGCGGGGCCGGGACTAGGCTCCTGGCCTCGAGGGGGCGCGACCCTGCTGACTCCCTCCCGCAGGGCCTTATCTGCGCGCGCCGGGCAGGTCCGTGCAATAGCGACCGCAGCTTTCATCATCACCGGGGAAGGATCCCAACCCCGCCCCGCCCCGACTATCCATGACTCTACTGAGCCGACCCCCACAACGACCCCACTGAGGTTGTCTCCACCCTCAGCTCTGCTCTTGTCGCAGCCCATGCCCATGTACACCGGCCTCTATGGGCCCAGCTGTCACGCAACTCCTGGAGTGCATCTTTCTCCAGGAAGCCCTCTTGGACCGCTTGCTACCATGCCCTCTGGGTCTCTCTCTGCTCTCCTCGGGGCTACTTTTATTTTAACCCATGATCCTTACTTGGGGTGAGGTTCTCAGCAGGGTCCCCCCTAGCCTGAGGTGGAGCATGCACCCAGCAAGCCCTTCCCCCAGCACATGGGAGGAAGAGGAGAGAGGAATGTTTGCTCTTCTATCCCTCCCACAAAAGGAAATAAGTCGGTCACACCCGCAGCTTGCAGGGGCCACATCACCCCTTTCCAGACCGTGTATTCCATTCCACTGCCTCCCCGTCTTACCAGCCTTGGGTAAATGACTTGACTTCTCCATACCTCAATTTCCTCACCTGTGAATGGAAATAAGAGCACCCATTTTACCAGGTTGTTGTGAGGATTAAATGAGTTAATGCATTAAAGGAGTTAGCAAGGGCCTTTGCCCAAGGGAAAACATTCTGCAGGACTGTTTGTTAAATAATCAGGCCTGAGTCCTGCCCTGGGAGATACAGGAAGGGTTTCCCCCAGAAGACGGGGATTTCCAGATTTCACCCACATGGCGGAAAGAGGCCTGTTTGCTGTAGGCTCCTTGGAGTTCAATGATCTTGAAGAAACTGGCCACAAACATGTGCTTTCCATAAATATGTATTAAATACCTACATTGTGCCAAGCATTGTTCCAGGTGCTCGGGACACAGCAGTGAACAAGAGAGATAAATATCCCTGCCCCCATGGGCATCCCTTGCCCTCAGCTGACATTCGGGGGAGGGGACACAGAATATAAATAAGTAAATAGGATAATGTATTATTAAGATGACATAACAGTTACAGGATGGAGAGTGCTTCCCAGGCTATCTTAGACTGGGGGCTTGGAGGACCTCTCTGAGGAGCTCAAATTTGACATGAGACCAACCCTCCCTTTCACCCCATGGCAAGAAGGATCCAGGCATGATAAGGAACAGTAAGTGCAAAGGTCCTGAGGTGGGAATAAGCTTGGTACATTCGAGGAAAGTCAAGAAAGCAGTGGTGATGCCTAGTCTGGTAGATGGGAAGAGATGAAGGCAAGCCCATCACAAGGAGACTTTCAAAGTCCTGGTGGCAAGTTCGAGAATTATCTTGAGGGCAATAGGGAGCTATGGAGGATTTTGCACAGAAGGACCTGTTGGGCTTTGGATTCGAGCTGCAAAGTCTGCAGTTGGTAAACCATGAGGAGGTACCACAGTGATGTTCATATAGCATCTGAGGATGTGGAACAAAGGGCATAAGGTATCAGGGAAGCCTAACCCGATTACCCCATATTATTTTCTCTTTCTTACACTTGGGGAGACTGAGGCCCAGAGAAAGCAGTTACTTGCCTGCAGTCACACAGCTGCCAGGGGGCGCCAACAGAGCAGCCAGGTACACAGCAGTTGTCAAATGGTTGCTGAAATCTGCCAGCCACAAGCACTTTCCCTCTCACTGCCCAGACAGCAGTTCTGCTGACTTAAATGGAGACTTGTGGTTCTTCCCCTTTTTAATCAGAGTGCAAGCCTTCTCTCGCGCCAGATTTCTCTGAGGCCCAAAGTGGTTTCCTTTCTCGCTTAATTTCTTCTCGCCACGCGTCCCCTCCAGAGTCCGATTTCTTGTCTCAATGCTCTCCGCGATCGAGACTTCCCACTCTGCTTTTGTTTTTCCTTAGAAAGGCAAAGGGCTTTACAACGAATAGCCCTCCAACGCCTTGCCCTACATAAGACAGCATCTTGGCGCGGAGCCGCGATTTCACCTTCACCGCGGGGAGGCTGGCCGGCCTTGGCTCCTCCCACTTCGCAGGTCATTGGGGCCCGAAGGGAGAAGGAGGTTTATTCGAATTCCCCGGAAACAAGCAAGGCGGTCTTGGCGCAGCAGACAGCCCTTCCCGCCGACGGTGACAAACACTGAACCGGAGCGGCACCTACTGCTTGTCCAGTTCCGGGGGCTGAAGAGTCTCAGGATTAATAACAGCAAGAAAACAGTAGTCAATAACTATTAATAAATACGTATTAATACCATCAATAGTGATATGAACAACTGATATAATAACAATAATAAAACAAAAGTTAAAAAAATACAACAAAAGTTAATCGGTACAGGACTAGTAATTAAAAGATTGAGAACAATAAATATAGTAATGTAACAATAATTAATAGGTCTAATTAATAATAATAATTACTATTAACTATTACATGATTAATAGAAAACATAAAATAATAAGATAGTAGTAGTAATAATAAATATAATAATAACAGTTAGGTCTAGGATTACTATTAAAAATAGTAGCTTATAGTAATAGTGACAGGATCAATCATAAATATAAAATAACAATAAGATAGTAGTAAGATTAATAATAAATGTAATATAATAATATAATCATATTAACATTTCTAGCACTAACAATAATAGCACTTAATAGTTAAAGGATTAATAAGTATAAAAATAACAGGCAAGAATAGGATTAATAGCAATAGATATTATCATCCTATAATTGTAATAGCTAATGATGTGGGATTAATTATAATATGATTAACAGTTTTTGAGGCTTGCTTCAAGCCATGTATTATTGCTCTATAACAGTGCTGGCAAATTGAAGTTTCTGTGATGATGGAAATGTTCTACCTGAGCTGTCCAGTATCATCACCACTGGCAACATGAGGCTACTGAGCACCTGAAATGTGGCTAAGGTCACTGAGGAACTGAATTTGTACCTTTATTTAACGTTAATGAATTAAAATGTAAATAGCCACATGTGGTTAGCGGCCTCTGTGCAAGCTCTGAATGTTTCACATATGGTAACTCACAATTCTCACATCAGCCCCAGGGTAGGTACCATTACTATCCCTCTTCAATGATGAGGAAACTGAGGCACTGAAAAGTTAAATCATTAGCCCTGATCAGAGTCTTTCCCCACTTTAAGGACAGGAAACCACTGTCTGAGGGGGCCTGTGATTAAGAATGAAGGCTCCAAGGGTCACCCAGACAGGTTTAGAATTTAGTGTTCAGCATCCTCTTAGCTGTGTGATCACTTAGACTCTCTAAACCTCAGTTTCCTTGTCTGTAAAACGAAAAGTCACAGGGCTGACCTCACTGGGTAGTGGGGTGGGGTCAGGGGTGGAATTTAGTGAGAAAACTTACACTAAAGGCTTAGGAGCTTGGGCAGCATTTCTGCATAGCATGTGCTCCATAAAGAGTGTTGATTATAATTTGTAACTGGGATGTGAGTCGCAGGTGCCTCGAGGATGGTGAACAGGGGTGGCCACAGAAAGGAGCCCTGTGGGTAACAGACTGTCAAACCCATTTTACACATGAGGACACTGAGGCTTGAGAGTCACGACTGTTGCCCAAGGTCACCCAGCCAGTGAGTGGAGGCCTTGGTGTCCACAACTGTAAAATGTGCTTCTGCAGACCTGTCCCCTCTCTACTGTGAGCAAGGTCTGGGACACAGGTAGGGGGAAGGCCTGAGTGGCTGGTCATCTCCCTACCTGGGTAATAGCTGTTGCAATGGACTGAATGCTTGTAACCCCCCAAATTCACATTGAGATCCTAACCCCTAAAGGGATGGTG